TTTTAGTTAGACAGAAATTGCACTCATATTGGATTTTACAATGTAGGAGTCATATGCAGTGACATTAAGTATAACTTGATGTACTGACCTGTTAGAGATTGGCATAGCCTGAAAAAATTGCAATCCCATGCAAGGTCAGAACTAAGTGGGGAAAAAATCAGTTCATTTACAACTTTACAATCTCCAACTTTAAATGATATAAATTTGAAAAGATCCATAGCACAATGATTGCGAATTATAGAAACTTGTGAAAATATGGCACAATGACTACAATTTAATATAAGAAGCAAGGAATTATATAGGATGTCTTCAATAGAAAGTATGGAATATAGCTGTGTTTGTATAAGCTGTTAATAAAATTTTCAGAAGTACAGACTATTTTTTGGGGGAATGTACTTGATGTATCACTTTAGGGAACTAATAGGCTCTGGAATTTAATTTTTTTAAAGAACACCTATTCCCAGGGGATGTCTAGAAATGAAGATAAAAAGCCTATTCAAGAGTAATTAACTTATCTATTTACTAAAGCCTATAGGCTATTGGAGATAGTTTACAGAGAGTAATAAGCGGGATTAAAACAGCAATCCAAAAGGAAAACAAGTTGAAATACAAAGGGAAGATAAACGTAAAAGTCACCAGGAAATAAAAATATTTTAAAACAAATTTGTTTGCAACAATTTTCTGTGCTGATAGTCCTGCTTCTTCTTAGGGAAAACTGTCCAATGCCATCTGGTGGACTTTCTCTAGAGTGGCGAGTCTTCCTATGATGACAGTAGCGCTGGAATGTTCTCTGTCCTGAAATTTATCTAATTATCAATTGTGGAAAGCGAGTCCCTTTTTATCCATGGCCTTTTCATCATTCAGTTATGAAAGGAGGTACCAGTGGTGCTGGATAGCAGTCTGTTTAAAGGAAAGTCCTAAATATTGTTTGATCTTGTTAGCGGAGATATAATTAAGGCTGTTGGCAACATTTTGATACTAGTCCGTCCCACCTTTCCTTTACCTTGCTAGTTTTTATATCTATGAAAAGATGAAGACTTGGAAAGAGGGTTGGCTTCCTGAGATAAGACAGCACTGGGATTCATATATCATACTGTAGTATAGTTTCTTTGTGTCTCCCATATTGTTCTGGATGAATCAGCTGTTATAATTTAGTGTGATATGCAAATCATTGTGACTCATTACACTAACTCTGGTCAAAAGGGCTTGGTATTAGGTGAGAACTCAGCCACTGTTTTGCTGCATGGGATATTTTTGGAACATTTAGGGACATTTGGAGTAGATCCAACATATCTGTGGAAAACCCATAAATCTTTTGAAACAGAGGTAATTCAAGAATTAGAATTTGGCTGAATGTGATGCACATTGTGGAAGATGCTAAGGCAGTTTTCTCTCTTGAGACCTGTTTATTCTTGTCTGCTTTTCTTGGTCTCTGACATATTTGTCTGACTCCCATTATCACCTTCAATGTCATAAAGAGATCTTCCAAGAAAGGATATTATTATTTCAGACAATGTGATGCTAAGTTATTTGAGAGATCAATGGGATGCAGCTCTGTCTTACCTAACCTATCTTACCTTACTTTACCTTGTTTTGCCTTATATTTTATCTACTTTGTTTCTAAGGTGTCTAATCCTCAATATTGAAGGCTCTGCTTGATCCAGAGATTTTAAAATCTCAAAAGTTTGCTAGGTATTTTATATATCCTTCACATTCTGCATAGAAGATAATTTGCATGACTCATTCATGTATCGGCAGAGAGAAGGAATTAATTTGGGTCTCATCAGTAGGTATTTCTACGTATGAATTCATCCATTACCCCATATTTAATTTTGCCAGTGTAAGCTTTTGAGTCTGTGAGAGTTTGTTACACATACAGATTTCTTTAAAAATCCGACTCTAGCCCTAAACAACCAGATGAGCAAGGAATCCAATAAGCAGTTGCCAGTGCTTAAATTAACAACATTTTGTCATTTTAATAAGCTGCCACATAAATCCATTTACAAAAGCTAGCCTTCTGTAAAAGAAGCAGATATCTGCACATGGAAGATAAGGCTTTTAGAGCCTTGGCAAAAAGATGAGCATGGGTCTCTCTAAAGTGAATGCATTGCCGGAAATACCCACTGAAAGCACCTCCTGCAAATTGTTTTTAATTGGTGAAGTTGCCCATGCATACGTTGAATCCCCACTTTCATAAAATTTATGAAGTTGTACTTCTTTGCCGATAGTGTCATTAAAATTCTTGTTATGAAAAATGCCATGGCTACCGTCTGCCCCAGTACTTTAAAATTATTAGTAAACCAGAAAGAAATTGAATAATAAACCATTAAGGGAATTTGATGTTCTTGAAGAGAGGATTCACTATGCCTTAGGCTTAGAATAACCAGTAGGAAGTTGAATGTGGAGATTCTCAGTCATCTACACATATAGACTTTTAGCTATCTAATTTGGGATGAAAACCCTTCGAATGCATGGTGTTGGGAGTATGAATGGATTTCCAGAGAAAAAAAATTGCAGACTGCAAAGACCATTACCGCTACTCAGGTGACCCTGATGATAACAGATAAATCTCCAAATACTTCAACAACCCTTTAAAAGGATGCAAATGACCAGTTGTCTGCAAGGAATATAAGTCTTTCCATTCCCCATCATCCAGTCAGCTGAAGATGCTTCTTGGATGAGAAATGAAAGGTCGTCAAATAAAAATAAAATAAAATCCAGTTGCCTCCTGAAAAAGCCACGCTACATGGAAAGTGGCAAAAAATATTGCAATACACTATTATGCATGTGCAACTGGTTTTAAATATAAGCCTGTGGCTAAGAGCCCGAAATGTAATCATGTGACTGTGGGAGTGATGGGACGGTTGTAGCTTTGATAATGGGTCGTAAGTAACTATTTTTTAAATCTTTTAAGCATTCGATTGTAAGTTAAGGACAACCTTTATACAAAATATGATAAATAAACTTAGCCAAAGTTTGCTAACTACAGTGGGTGAACTAAAAAAAAGTTCCACAGGATACTGTATCTTTGTATATGTACAGTTTCACCAGCTGAAGGTAATATATAATAGTATTTTTGATACTTTATTATCTTAGCATTGTTGCACCAAGTAGCAGATACTTTTACAGAAACATATTTAAGGGTTTTTGATTGGTTAGTTGGTTGTTTTTTGTTTTTTGCAGATAAACTATAAGGTTTTGTTTTGCTCCTTTACAATATAAGATGGACCATATTTGTATTAGGGCTATGCAATATTATCAAATTATTGCACTATAGAACAGACCCATACATACATACATGCAAGAAAACCCATACATTTAGATAAGAATGTGAAATATACAATAGGTTCAATAAAATAGTGTATTTCATTTTAATTGTCTCTTCATAATTTACATTTGTAAGCAACTCATTCATAACATTAACACAAGATCTTTAAACCACTGAGTGATTGAAACCATACAATTTATCTTTCCATTGTTTGAGGACAAATCTTTTAGAAGAGTGGCATGGAGAGTTTATTTTCCTTGTTCAGATGACAATTTCTATTTATAAGATAATAGTTCAAAAGAATGTGGGCATTCAAAAATGTTAAATCTCATTTCAAAGTTAATTTAATAAAAGTAATGATTCCCTTTCAGAATATAGCAATTCTTTGAGATGACAGAGACACATTTTAATGAAGCATTTATGCTCATTAACACAGTAATTTATGAATTTTTTGTGCAAAATAATGAAGGCCAGTGTCCAAAATACATTAGATTGTTGCTGTTGAATGAACCATGGTGTAAGATCTATTGAATTTTTTTACATAAATATTAAAGTCAGTTTTCTATTGTTCAGACAAAATGGAGATCTACAATTCTTTGTCCCATTCATCTTCAAAGATTTTTAGATCAAACTGATTTCTCAATAAGTGTTATTTATAAGGATTAATTGTGGGTTTTCTTGTCTGAAGATTTAAAAATCNGTGTGTGTGTGTGTGTGTGTGTGTGTGTGTATGTATGTATGTTTATGCATAAATATAAACATACTCATCTCAAATCTCTTTTCTTCCAATGAGGAGATGCCCTGTAGTTGCCATATTTTGGGAGTTCCACCACCCATTCATTAGAATTGTGTTGTTTATACTGTTTGTTAGCAGTAATCATGTCTGAAAATAAGTTTTTTTAATGTGTACATCATTTTCTGCATTAAGAAACTGGTATGTTCCAAACTACTAAATAATTGTGCTGCTCTGGAAATATAAATGTGGCCCTTGTTGCTTAAAGACCATTTGTTCAGCAACCATTTGATGGTGATGAATGAAGAGACTTAAATCCATGCCCAAAGTTACAGCCACTGCAGCACCTCAGTGTTCAAATGATTGCAATCTGGGCTCTTGGCAACCCATTTGCATTTATGCCATATTGCCAAGCGCCCCACAATCATGTGATTACCATTTGAAATCTTTCCTACCAACTTCCCCAGACAATCAACTGAATCTGGCAGAATTTAATTTGAAGATTCATTTATAAATAAAACCTACAGTATGTGATCAGAGTTAATCAATGAATATGGTGGGAAAAAATCATTTGGGTTATTATGTTTTATAGCAGAAATAAAGCAGGAGAAAACAAAAGCCATCTCTAGAAAATGGGTTACTAAGAGTATTGAAAGTGCCAGTCCAAGTACATTGAAAACTTCAAGTGCTGATATTGGCTTAAATTTAAGGAATTTACTTTCTGTCCAATCTGCCTTTATATATATTTAGTCTTCAAGGACTGTAGGGTAAATCTAATAGAGATTAGTGCGACTTTGTTGCATTTAGCACTTTTTTAAGATTGCATTTCAAGTATATTGCAGAATATATATGTTAATTAGTTTTTTTTAAAGTACATTTTTTCATATTATGTAATATGAATCTAATAGTGCTTGCAAATAATCTATTGTGAAATCAATGTCACTTTTTAATCAAAATTTATGTATGCATACGTATATATTGTTTTGTTTTGTTTTTTAGTTTAAAACATATGCGCAGTGGATGATTTCTCATCATGAATCGTGCTTTTAGCAGAAAGAAAGGTAAGCAGTTTCAATTCAATGATACTGAAAAAGTGAAAAAAGAAGCATTGAAAAAAAGACAAAGTTCAAAAGGACAAAACTTGAAATGACATTTGGCCAGAGAATTATGATAAAATGCCTTAATGAGTTTTTATTCAATTATTTGCTCTATGTGACAGGAGTAGTTTATAAAATTTAAAAAGTAGACTAAAATTATACAACAATCATTTATATTAATGAGGGTAAAGGGGAAAAGAAAAAAAGTAAGCATTTTCATGCACCTGACTTGTGAGGGGATTCTGGAGTTCTCATCACACGTAATAGAAGCTCTCCTAATCATCTCATTGACTGACCAAATTTGTAAGGATGAAAAAATCCATTAGATATTCTGGTTTGAATGCTCAGCCTTTTCTCAACAAGTCAGAATGCAAATAGGTGTTTCAAGGACACAGAGTTCTTATAAATAGATTATAGAAAAGCTACTAAAGCAATTACAAAAGGATTCCAGTGGCTGCTAGGTATCAAATACAAACCCAAAGCAGAAGGACAATAAGGTTTAAATTCTTGTAGCTCTCAATTGAGGATGAGGGAAATGATTATCATTTGTCCACTCTCTTAGCACCTGACAAGAAGCAGTTACTAAATAGTGATTTACCACCTTAAAAAGATGGTTTTAGAAACAGAGATTAAATCTATGAAAAGAGGTCTGAAAAACAATGAAGTTCTGGCAAGCATTTTCTACCACATGAGCTATTTTTTTAAAAAAATATACTGACTGGTATATATGAGCTATTTACATGGCAACACTCTGTAAGACGATGCGGAGCTGATTTGGGAGTTCATTCCTATATAGCATTAATCTTGTCTTGATATTGGTCTAATGGATACATTCATTTTTCTTGTTTCTCTGTGATGACAGACATGTATGTATGTGTGTATACACACACACGCACACACAAACACACTCAGACTTGTATGTGGTCTGCTGGGGAAAAAATCCTCGGTTTTCTTTTTAAAAAAAACAGTATTAAAAACCTGAAATAAGGAACTCTTTTCTCATAAAACTGGCGATGTGTATTCAAAATATATCTGGCCAATGAATTCACCATATACAGTACTTTGAATGAGCCTCCCACCTACAATATTATATGTCAGATTTAGCTAAAGTGCAGCCAGGACAAAGTCCTGATTTAAGCTTTTGATTTGAGGTTTGGAACTATAACACTCAATTAATAGTTTGCAATAAGATGAACATTGCTTTAGTTTCTGCTTGTACACCGAATGATATTTTTTAATATCCAATTTGGTAGAAACTATCACTATTTCCTACTGTGGTTTCCTGCAGTGCAGTCCACACAGCATGGTCAATAAAGATAAAGGTAACCATGATGGTGCAAAGAAAGCTTTATCTGCCCTTTAAGTTTATCATGGTTGCTATTTTGATTTTATTGATCAAAACCTAGTTCACTGAAATTTACTGAAACCAACCAAGATGAGGCAAACTAAGTAGAATCTTTTCACCAAGATGGAATAATGAATTATGGTAATCAGTAGTTGAAAATGCAGGCAAGTGCCTATCATCTTCTGCTAGCAGGGAAGAAGTAATAGGATTGTGCAAGTTACACCAAATTATGATTTAGTGCTCCTCTAAATTGATGGTTTCATGCTTAATGTGTCAGGAATGAGCAGGAATAATCCTTTTTCTTATGCACTTCTCTATTCCTCTGATGGGGCTGTGAAGAGTAGATTGAAAGTGTTTGCTTCCATTTTAGAGTAAGTTTTTTTTAAATTTTTTTTGCATTATGAAGATAGCTATAATCTTGCAAGAATTCAAAGAAGCAGCTCGTGATAGACAATCCAGGGGAAATTATGTCAATCAGATGGGNCCTATGAAGCGGTATATAAGTCTACTGCTATTGCTATTGCTATTATGATACCAGTTCAGTATGGTTAAATTATTATAATACTCAGGGTAGCAGACATATGCCCCTGCTGAGCATTTTCTCTAAAACAATCATTCTGTGAGAAGGATTGGGTTCAGAGTAATAAAACTGGTCTAGCTCCACCTGTCATTTTGTCGTCATCTTTAAAGTTGTCTCTTATTCATTATGACATTTGGGAATTGGTCAAAATGTGCAGTTCCAGATAACGTCTCTGGTGTCCAATTGAAGATTTACTATTCCTCATGGATCCACATGCCTTTCAGTTGCAAATGCTTAAAATCAAACTTTTGCAATGGACATGAGGGAATCTCTGTGGCATTCTGGAGAGATTTCACTGCCTTAAAGTGAGACATTTGGTAAGAGAAATAGCATGGAAATGGAGTAGCTGCTCATCTCCCAGGTGACAGACCATTTCCAACTACTACAGCATGCATTGTTGTGTGCTGAGTAGTATTAGGCCTGAGTTTTGTTGAGGAGTAGGCATATTTTGGATGTTAGGGTTTGAGGCCTTTCCTTCAGTGCTTTGTAGTGTTTTGAGTTCTACATTAGATACAAAAAAGGATACTCTATAAATTCGTGTTTTTCATGCACTTTTTTCTGCTAGAAATACTGTATCCAGTAATTAAGTGATTTCAGTTAAGCAGATGCTCAACTCAAAAGTGAACCTCTAAATGAATATACATTATTTAAATACCAAAAATACTACTACTTTTTTCAAGAAGAATCTGTTAGCCTTGTCTTCCTTTATTGCTCCGCTTTATTGTTGTATTGCCTGTATTTATACCATGTAATTCTTTATTTCTCCTCTCTCTGTTTTCCTCGCTCTGTTTCCATTTTCCTCACTCAGGCCTTCTTTGTTCTAAGGTTAGTGTTACCTTTGGTTACATTAGTGAAATTTGAAAAGCGGTATCTTTTAGATTTCCTTTTCTAATACTGCCCAGTTTCTACTTTCTGCCTCCCCTTCTCTTCTGGCTTTTCACTAAGCAGAAGTAGTGGTAGCTGATTTGCTAGTCTTTATCTCATCCCCATAGTTCAGTGTTTCTCAACTTTGGCAACTTGAAGATGCCTGGACTTCAACTCCCAGAATTCCCCAGCCAGCATTCACTGGCTGGGGAATTCTGGGAGTTGAAGTCCGGGCATCTTCAAGTTGCCAAGGTTGAGAAACACTGCCATAGTTGTTCCCTTCCTTCTGCCCTCTCATTTAAGTTCCTCGGGGTTTGGGGTAAGTAGTTTTTAAATCTTCAGTTTCCCCCCACCATTTGAACAGGATAATTTGTTTGCATCACCATAATCATGGGCAAACTGTTATTACTGATCTATGGTTTCCGTGCTTTAAGATATATTTAGTAAAAGTTTTTTTTTTTAAAAAAAGAAGTGTTGCAAACTTTCCAGATAAGTAAAAGATTCAGTAAATAAATATTATTCAACTTAATCATAGTGGGTAGGTTTTCTCAGCTGTTCTTGATTATCAAATGACTTATGACTAATGCCTAATGTGATGTTGTAATGTGATGTTTCACCGGCCATGCTGCAAGCTTCTTCAGAATGAAGTACATTCATTATTTGCTTTATTTAGTAGAATTTGTAGGCTGCCTGATTCCCAGAGAGCGTGGGTGGCTTACAGTCTAATAAAAAAGGTATTAAAAAAACAAAGAAGTTAAAAATCATGAGCAAACATCTAAACAACAACAACAAAAACCATTTGATAGGGTATCACCATGTGCAAGTACTGGGAGAACAGCCACCTCCCTAAATCTCATCAGGGTGGTATCTATCTGACTTTCTGGAAGGATATCATTCCACTATGGCACTATGATAGAAAAGGCTTGGTTCCCATGACATGACATGGCTAAATTAATGGGACCTCAAACACACCCACTTTTCCTAGCTCACTGGATGTAGAGGAAGAACCAGAGAGGCAGTCCCTCAAATAACCAATCTCTTCCTTATGCCATGAAGACTTATAGTGACAATTAGTACCTTGAATTACATCTGGATTCTAATTAGTAACCAATACTGCTTACAAAGTGGTTGGCTTACATAAGCATAAGGACATGCCTTTCATTTCCTGCATTAGCAGGGGTAGGTTCCTGCCAGTTCTAACCTCTTCTATAGAAGAGGTTCCACAAATCTGCAGTGCCATTTAGAACCGGTTCCAGCTCCCTCCCCCTGCCCGTCCACACTTCATCAAGATGAAGAGCGAGAGGAGCAATTCC